CGACTCATAGCAACCCCTCCTTGGGTTTCCAAGGCAGTATCACTACGGAAGTAGGATTGCCCAACCTTCCTTCCGAGGAGTGGTTGGTGGGTTTGAACCGCCAGCCTTCTGGTTAGCAGTCAAGTGCTTTAGCCACTATGCTACCAGAGCTCCCCATTGCTCTGTAGTGGTGGTGATTATTTTGTGTAGATAGTGCTTTGCATTGTTTTTTTTAGTTTTTACTTTTCAAAGCACTTTCTCATACTCTTCTTGTTTATCTTTACAGTCACTCTAGGAGGCAGATCATATTTTTCCCTATTTTGCATCTAGACAAAGTAAGCTACAGACAGGTGAAATATCCAAGATCACTTAAATCAAAAGAAAACTCTTTTATTCAAAAAAGAAAACCTTTTATACAAAGTACTGTATGATATTCTTAAAAGTTCTAAGCCAGTTTAATATTATATTTTTTAGCATTTCATATTTATATTTCAACTTGAAGGCCAATTACACTGACATGTTTTTCTATGACCATATTGTAACACGTGCTACTACATTTCATATTTTTTCAGGTGATTTATTTATTTTTTTCAGTTTGCCACTGCAAAAGTTCTGACTTAAGCATGACCTCCTTCATTCTTTTAATTTGAACGTTTTGTAGATATTTATTTATATATTTATTTACTGCCTGCTCTGGAAGAAGCCATATTCATTACCAATTTCTGGGAATTGAGAAGTTGGTTGCCTTTTAGAGGCATTCACTCAAGTGTGTTCAGTATGTGTTTAACTGGCAAAAGTTGTTCTTATTTACCAGTACTTAAATAAAGGGGGAAAAAATCCTTTTCATGGTTTTTTAAAAATACCCTGTATTCCTTTTTTTTTTTTGAAATTAGTGGTAAAAAAAAAAATAGAATTCTGTCAGTTTATTCTGTATTCTATTATGATTTAAAGTATAGTGAGATACCTGCTTTCAAAAGTACTAGTTGGAGAAGAAAAAGGTTAACTGCATATAGTTTTAACTCTAGAAAGCAGAAAAAAAAATTTTGGTATTTTGAATTTCTGTAATTTCTGCATCCTTTATCACAAAACCTTAAATTTTGATCAGAAGGAGTAATATTTAGAGCTTGTGTTTATCTACTGTTTTGAATCATTCTTAAACATTTGGTTTGTTACATTTATTTCAAGGTAGTGGAAATTTTTTAAAAATGAGATAAATTTTCACTTTTTAAAAAATGTGTCCTATGTATAATTGCCAATAACCTTTGTTTCCTTTACTACATCTCTAGCAGAAATAACATTTATACCAATGCCAGACCATTTGTAGTTGAAGAGTTCTGCTAACCAGAAGGCTGACATTTCAAACCCACCAGCCACTCCTCGGAAGGAAGACTGGGCAGTCTACTTCTGTAGAGATAAGCCGCCTCAGAAACCCTAGGAGGGGTCGCTATGAGTTGGAATTGACTCGACGGCAGTGAGTTTTTTTTTTTTAAATTCCTGTTTTATGGAGGTCTGGTGGCATTGTGGATGAGGCATTTGGCTGCTAACGAGAAGGTCAGCGGTTCAAACCCACCAGCTGTTTCGTGGAAGGAAGATGGGGAAATCTACTTCCATAAAGATTACAGCCTTGGAAACCCAGTGGGGGTTGCTGTGAGTTAGAATTGACTCAATGGCAGTGAGGTTTTTTTTTTTTTTTTTTTTTTTTAATTCCTATATCCATAGCCATTATTTGCTTTTTATTTAAAAAATGAAGCTTTTTGGAGCAGTGTTTAAAACTTCAAATTTCTGGTCAGTTTTTTTCCCCCCCTTCAAATAAATGAGGATATAATTCAGACATGCCAAGACTTACTGAAAGTCAGAAAATTACCGTTATAATCCATTCTAGCTAATGTTCAAACTGCTATTCCTTATTCCATCCATGTCAGGCTGCTTTTTATATACCACACTTACAGCTTATAAAGCTCAAAATACACAAATTTTAGAAATAGAATTCATATTTAGCAGCAAGTATTTACTGAGCAATTGTTATATTCTCAGTACTGTTTTAGGACAGATAGCATGCTAAGATAAAAGTCATCATTGGTGGCTGTGAACAGTCAATACTCCAAACTTATTATTTTTTTCATTAGAATATCAGTATTTCTTAGTATTTGTGTTATACAACTGCTTTATCTCTTCTGTTGAAATATTGACAGCCCAAAATCAACAGTAAGTTGAGGCATCTTTTTTTGGGGGGCGGTTAATTTAAGGTTTAAAAAACTATTTTAATAACATAATATATGCTTTAGAACACTTAAAACATGTCCTTTATTACATTTAAACTTTTTGTTGAGAACCTCATTATTATGTAAAATAGTAATTTGAAGTGAAATTAAGTTGTAAAAAGTACACTAACTTTGCTATTTAAAAAATGTGAATTTTATTTATTACTGGCTTGGTCATAGGCAAGTTTCTGAACTTTTCTTAACCTGTTTTCTCACTTACCTAAAAACTGAATGATTTAGTTTATGTACTAGGGAGCCCTGTGGTGACTAAATGCTTGGCTGCTAACCGAGAGGTCAGCTGTTGCAACCCACCAACTGCTCTGTGGAAGAAAGATGTGACAGTCTGATTCTATAAAGATTTATAGCCTTGGAAACCTTGTGGGGGCAGTTTTACTCAGTCACGTAGGGTCATTATGAGTCAAGACCAACTTGACGGCAGTAGATTTGGTTTTTGGGTTTAGTATATCTACTGTATGTATTAGAATGCCTGACATAGAAGTTGTTATAAATGCTATTTTCCTTCTTTTCTCCCTCCTCCATTGTCAAACCCATTTCATTCTGTTTTTCCTGTTACCCGTAAAGGATATAAATTCCTGATTTCATTCTGAGATAAGATTTTCCTGTATATAATGACACATAAGGAGCTGTGGTGATGTAGTGTTTAAGGTGTTTGGCCGCTAAGCAAAAGGTTGGTGGTTGGAACTCACCAGCTGCTCTGTGGAATAAAGATGAGGCAGTCTGCTTCCATAAGGATTTACAGCTTGGAAACTCAGTGGGGGTAGCTATGAGTTAGAATCGACTTAGTGGCAGTGAGTGAAAGCCACATATCAACAGTCATATCTATAAATAATAATTATGTAGATAAATACAAAATCTGACTTTTGAATATACAGGAAAAATATTCCTATGGAATGGCATGCAATTGAGACCCGTATTTTGTTTTTTCTTCTTCGAATACTTTATTAAAAATTGATTTAAGGAAAATCTTACTGCCACTACTGGTAAATTTTAAAGTTCTCATGGTGCAAAGTATTTCTAAAATAATACATTTTCAGAGAAGTAAAATTGTTTCAGATTACTTTAAAATACTAAGTAGAAAATTTAGTAGTAACATATTTCATTGAGAAAGCACAGCTGATAACAGGGTATATATCTTTAGAGTACAGTATATCTCTTTTTTTAATTATTTTTCTGTGATACGTTCTTCCAGGATTAAAAGGAAATTTTAGAGATGAATTATTTGATTGAAGAGTCTTTATTGTTGAATAGAGAAACATTCTTTCTCTGTTCTGTTTAATAATGTATTTTTATTTGAAAAATTTTTCATTATTGATTCATTGATTTCTTCAGAAAGAATTATGATAGAATTTTCTAATGACGTGCCTATTGAGTATAAACCAGTCATACCAAACCCACACACATAGAGTCAATTCTGAATCATAGCCACCCTGTAGGACAGGATACGGCTGCCCCGTGGGGTTTCCAAGGTTATAAATCTTGAGGGAAGCAGATTGCCACATTGCTCCTGTGGAGCAGCTGGTGGGTTTGAATCACTGACCTTTCAGTTAGCAGCTGAGTGTTTAACCACTACACCACCAGGACTCCTTATAGAATAAAAGATACCATAAAAAGTGACCCTGTGTGTAAACTGGGATGCTAAAACAAAACAAAACAAAACCGCACAAAATCATAGAAGAGTGGGCAGAGGTTAAAATTTTAGTTTCTAATAACAATTTCCTTAATAGTATCATATCATAGGAAGCATCATGGAAGGTAATAATAAATTTTAATTTATATATGTGTGAGATATCTTTAAGGTTGTATTGATTCATTTTTTATAGTAGAGTATTTTAAAATAATATTTGGCAAATTTTTCTTTCACCATAGCATAGAATTAAAACTACCTCCTTTATTGTAATTATTTTCATGTGTGAAAATCTAAAACTTCACTAAAGATGGTCTAATTTTAGTTATAACTGTATTACGAGATGTTGATCTATTAATCTTATTACTCTGGCCTCTAAGAGTACAGCCCTAAGTCATAATTTTGGAAGCTATCTTTGTGTTCGGGGAGTAATTGACTTCATTCTAGCTTAATGTATAATGAAATTAATACTAACCATAGTTCCTCCTCATGAAAGACAAATGAATGAGTCTAAAATTTTGTACACATCTTATATAAATTTAGGTAACTCGTGATGATTATATACTAATCATTGAAATGATTCTACTAATTCTGCAACTGTTCCTTTTTCTTGCTTTATAAAATAATTTTTTTGGTTCAGTCTTTTTCCTAGACATTGCTATCCTTGACTTTTCTTTCCAGATTTTGTTTCCTAGCCTGTTTGCCATGTTTCCCTTCTTACGTGTCAGGAAATAATCCTACCCTTCTCCATTTTGGTAAGATGACAATTTTTAAAAGAAATCCAAATAGTGTTATTCAATATAAGGAGGTGGTGCACACTGAATTTTTTCTTTGTAATTTTACTGAGAGTGTACGTGTTTGTCTGTCTATTTATTCTAACCCTTTTGGTTTTCCATTTCATAAAATAAATTCATTCCAGAAACATTTCCTAATTAGTTTCAAATATTCCCTTAATAAAACTTTTTCTTTAATTGGCACCATAAAAGTCAGTTTATTTTCTTCCATAATTGGAGGTTTTGTTTTGATATTTTTAATTCTGTGTTTTCCTAAGTAACATGCAGAAATGTAAGTGACTGGCAGAGTGACAATATGATTGCAAGAGTTGCATGATTGTCATATTTTTTATGCCATGTGTACAGTGTAAATCTGTTTTTATCACTTTTAAGTAAATTTAAAAGCATTCAGATATATCATGAGTCCAAAATGTGCACTGTTTCATTTTACTAAGCCAGTGACTTAAATGGAGAACCTGAGAGTGTTTTGGAATAGTGAAAATATTTGTCTTGATGTTGTAGCCCAGAACTAGACATATGGAAGGCATTTTACATGAGCATGATACATATGTTTATAAATCCACCTTTTTATTTACCTTTTCTATTTCATTTATCTTCATTTCTTCCTGTATTTTTGTTTTCTTTCTGCAAGTTGCTTAAATATGCATTTGAAAATAATCTCCACAGGGCAAAATGATTATACTTCCCAGGGTTTTTTTTTTAGGTTGTTAGTACACATTTATCAGTGTACAAAGCAATCTTTAACCCTTTAAATAATAGAATATTTTTTACATTATTTTAAGAAACACTGTTTTCTTTGTTTATAAGTAAAATATATTTAAATTCAGGCTTTTCTAGATTATATAATGAATTTACCATTTTAAAGCCATTGCATTCTTGTTATAGTTATGTTTATTATTACTTACAGACAGTTATTAAAATATTCAAAGCTCTGATGGTGCAGTGATTAAAGCACTGGGCTGCTAACCGGAAGTTTGGTGGTTCAGACCCACCAGTTGCTCCATGGGAGAAAGTTGAGGCAGTCTGGTTCTATAAAGATTTATAGCCTTGGAAAGGAAACCCTGTGGAGCAGTTCTCCTCTGTCATGTAGGGTTGCTATGCGTTGGAATCGAATCAATTGCAGTGAATTTTGTATTGGAGTGTCTCTTAGTGTATTAGTTTAGTGATGTGATCCAAGATGTTACATATAAAATAATCCTAGGATGTGAAGATGGAAGAGGATGGACAGTATTCAACACAGTTTCAGTTGTAAAATGTGCAATGATGCCTTGTTCTGTGCCTTAGTTGTGCTCTCCATCCTCTTCCCCACTCACCAAAGAAAAAAAATCTCTAAATAAATTACTTTGAATATGAAAGTAGAGTAGCAAATTTGACAGTGATGGAGTGAATACTATATATTTCTTTAGGAAATGATAAATCACTTAGTTAAGACATTTAAATATTTGACAGGAAGTTTTATAAATTCCCAGGTAAATGGTAACTTGAAGAATCAATCCAGACCTGAAGCGGTCTAAAGATGTTTGCTGCCATGTAGAACATCTTGGCTGTGGTTAATATCTCCTTGTTTGGAATCTGGACTAATGGAAGATTACATGGACAGTGAAAATGTGCAGTTTCCTTTAGGATTCTTATATAAATAACTGGGCTTTAGAATTTGAATTCAAGTCCTTTAGTAAAGGTTTTTTTTTTTCCCCCCCCCACCTTGGATCATCTAGAAAAAGCCAAAGTATTATATTTTACTGTTTCAAAGATAGAAATTTATCCTTCATCAAGATGATGATCTGTGTAGCGGTTGGTGTCTGATTTCCCTTCTTACTTTCCAGTCCTATGAGTCCTAAACATGACACGTTTAAGCAGAGGTACAGTGAACCATAAATAATCTCAGCTATAACATGCTGTGCACATATATGTATACACAAATAAAGACACATTAAATAATCTCACCTTACATTGAGAAATGCAAATGGAATGCAACAAGTTGCCAGGTATAGTTGAACCCTTAAAAATTTGAATATTAGAAGCTCTGGTGGCATAGTGCCTAAGGCATTTGACTGCTAACCAGGAGGCTGGAGGTTCAAACCTACCAGCCACTCCTCACAAGGCAGGTTGGGCAATCTACTTCCATTGAGGTTCCTCCTTCAAAACCCAAGGAGGGGTTGCTATGAGTCGGATCTGACTCGACAGCAGTGAGTTTGGTTTTTTTTTTTGTGGGGGGGGGTTCTTGAAGTTTAAAATTTCAAGAAACTTAAATTTTATTTGTAAGTTTTCTGATGTTATAAATAATCATGAGTTTAAGAAATAGAACATGAAATTTTATAAGCAAGAACTAAAGATGATATAGCATGAAGTTTTTTATGCTACCACAACTTAACAATGCAGATTTCTATGGATGTTCTTTTTTTAATCTTTCAGTAAGAACTTTTTATAGCAGCCTGAGTCTCTGTTAGAAGCATTGAGCTTTATATTGTTAATAAAGTCTGATCCTAGAAAGTATATCGTGAAGAGGATGTTTGCTTTTAAGGGTGAATGCTGTTTTCCAAATGCATATGAAAGCACAGTTCAACTTGTAAGTCCTTAAAAGTGGTGGTGCTCTTTTTAATTTATAGTTTTCAGAAGCATTCTTTTTACCTCTTAAAATGTACAGTTACTCCTTAGTAGATATGTTTATTTTTATTCTCTAGATCTTGTAAATTTTGATGATATAGCTTCCTCGGAAAACTTACAACATCTCACTGCAAATAGACCAAAGATGCCTGGAAGGAGGTTGCCTGGTCGCTTCAACGGTGGACATTCTGTAAGTTGTTATTATTGTCATAATAATTTGTTAGCAAATCCAGAGTTCATCAGAATGAAAGAGAATTTATAGCTCCACTAAAATTGAAAAGTCAGAAAGGTAGCAGCTCTATACTCAAGTGGCAAATGCTTGAGTTTAAGGAGATAAAACAAGGAGAAGTCTTTCTGTTTTGACTGGGCCTGGAATGGAAGCTTATAGGATCTAAAAGTAGAGAGTTGTCAAGAGAGCATAACCATGGAGCAGGGTCAGAAAGGGACAGGGGACCTGTTCAATCTGTTTGTCCAACAATAATGATTAAAATTGAGTGGTAGATAATTACCTTTAGAAAAGAACAAGAAAAAAAAATTTCCTCAAATAGTCATTCTTTTTGTAGTCATTGTCATGTTTTCTCAATGTGTAATTTTTTTTTAAATGCTTTTTATTACCTGGAGTACTGTTAGCACTTTAATGTTAATGTATTACCTCTTAAGCAGTATGATCCTTTAAGCTACTTACCTGGGGGAAAAAAAAAATTGTTACCAAAAGGCAAATTGTTTTTGCCCTCAAGCTATGAAAATGTATTATTCAGCTTCAAATTATATAGTCCTGTTAACACTACCGGAATGTAAAAACTGTAGCAACTGAAAATAAAGAGATGTGATTTACTTACTTTATTATCCAAATACTTACTACCTTTTCTTTGTTCCATTCTGGCTCTTGATTTTTAAAAAAAATCATATAGCCAACTCAAAGCCCAGAAAAAATCTTAAAGTTACCAAAAGAGGAAGAAGATAGTGCCAACCTAAAACCATCTGAATTTAAAAAGGATACATGCTACTCTCCAAAGGTGAGGGATGTTGTACTCTTAAGATTTATGTGATTTCTAAAATCCTTTTTTAACATCATCATTGTGGAATTTAAAGTGTCCTTCAAGAAGAATTATTTATTCCACAAAGAAACAAAATAATTCCTGTTAAAAATTGCGTTGTCACTGCAGAATTTTTTTTTTAAGGACAGCTTACGTTGTGCTAAATGAATAATACTGATGTTATATAGATTCATATTTTGTTAAGGCATAGGTCTATACATCTATTTGATTGTCCCATTAAACTTATACCGTTATGTTCAGAAACTGTGTCTTACTTACTCCTTACATAGCTTAGTGCTATGCACCACAAAAAAAAAAAAAAAATCACTGCTATTGAGTTGATTTGGCTCATAATGAGCGAAGCCTCCTTGGGTTTCCAAGGCAGTATCTCTACAGAAGTAGATTGCCCAGTCTTCCATTTGAGGAATGGCTGGCGGGTTTCAACCACAAGCTTTCTGGTTAGCAATCACATGCCTTAGGCGCTATGCCACCAGAGCTGCCATGCACCACAGTAAGCACTCAACATACACTGAAATGAGTGTTAGAATGAATGGATCCTTCTCTCTGTTATACAGTGTTAAGATAAGGATGCCACCAATCAGAGCCAAATTAAAGGCAACTAACAGGAAAAAGAAGATTCTTTTCTAAACTCTCTTCTCATTTTTATTTAAGATAGGATTGGCAAAAAATGACACACAATCTAATATTTAAGGAAATCATGTTTCCTTCTAAATTATTTCTCAATTTTATTTTAGGGCATTTGACCACTTTTTTCAATTTGTTGAATATATTTAATTTGATTCTCTCAGCTATCAGCAGTCTACTGAAATTTTATTAAAATGATTTGAAATAGTGAAATAGTAAAAGGGGTTAGGCCATGAAATCTTTTCAACTACATCTTCCATAAATTTACAAAATTCTTCATAAGTACTTTTGAGTGAAGCTATTTGGATATATGAAACACTAAGTTTTTAACAAGTAAGACCAAAACAGCATCTTAAAAATGCTGATAGATTCTTGCTTCTAGATATTCTACTAGGCAAAAAACCATTCATAAGATAAACTCCCCCCTCCCTCTTTTTTTTAATAAAACAAAATCCCTGTTATTTTTCATAAAACTCTGTCACTTATTAGTGATTACAGATTTATTCCTTGGTTGCCTGGCTTGGTTGTCAGGTTAATGAAAGCCAACTGCTTTTTGAAGTTTGAACTTTACCTTTTTTCTTAAAGTCTTTTTCTAATTGTGTTTCTTTTTGGTATAAAAATCTCTTGAACTTAAATAAATATAAATACAAACAACATCAGAAAAACACATGCATTTTTATCTTTTCAGTCATCTGTGTACCTTCCAACACCTGCAAGTGCTTCTTCTAAACCAAATATTGCTGCTTTCCTAACTCCATTAGAAATCAAAGCTAAAGTAGCAGATGATGGGAAAAGAAATCCCCTGGATGAACTTAAAGCACAGATTATTGAATTGCTTTACATTGTAGAAACACTGAAAAAGGATCATGGGTAAGTTGTCCATATTTTCTTCTTTAATGAGTACTGCTTAAAGAATTCTTTCAAGTCATATCTAGTAAAGATATGCTTTGCCAAGTCTCTGGTAAGAGCAAGTATCTTTTCAAAAGAATTTTTCATTAATAGTCTTTATTTCCTTTTGGCAAGAAACATGGATTAGAAAACTTGTTCCAGTAGCCTAATTATGAAGAAGGTATATATAAACTTATATATAAGTTTATATATAAACTATAAATCTTATATATAAGCTATAAATCTTCTAATCAGACACAGATGAAATACTCTTAAAAATGTTAGGAAAAGCTGTATTTATTACATTTTGGATATGGTGTGTATCTATTTATATTCATCTTCTCAGAGCATTTTGATCACTGTTTCTGCTAGAGTTGCGTTGGATATTTATAAAGTGAGTTGGTTGAGATAGATGATCTTTAAGGCTGTTCTGTAAGATATCCTAATCGAAAGTTAGGGATGTTTTAGAACGAAAGTAAATTATGTGGTATAACTCCCTCTCCCCCCTTTCTTTTTTAATGAAATATGAAAGTTCAGAGAGATAAAGCTACTTACTTAAGATCACATAACTCTTAAATGGCATATCGAGAACTAAAACCCATATTCTCTGTGGTTTAGAGTTCTTTTCTATCTCCATTGGTATTAGAATTTTAAAATTTGTTAACATTTGAAAAATAATCCTGCAAAATTCCAGTAGGTAAAACAAATCAAAGAATATCTAATCAAGTTCAGCTGTGGGTCAAAGAACATCTAATCAAGTTCAGCTGTGGGTGCAGATGCGAGTTCTTCGCTGCCCTCCTCTCTGGACTTCCTCTGAAGCCTCTAAAAGAAGTCCATAGAGTGGTGTGAAAGTCATTGCTAGAGAGATTCCATGCTGCCGCTGACCCTGATTTTTATCACCCCCCCCCATTCTCAGTTGACATAGGATCTTTATTAAAAACGCTGTTGAGATTAACAATATGAGATGTTTGTATTTTGCAGAGCCTTTTACCAAATATCTCTTAGATGGAAACAAAAAATGTGTCTTGAATAACTTAAAATATGTATTATACTAGTAGAGTTCTGTAATTTAATACATGATGGGTCTTTTTTCAGTCATTCAGTTTGTCTGTTTTGAATTCAACTGTTTTCACAGAGTTTGTAATACACATATTATAAACTGTCTGTAAGTTCATCCAACTGGGAAATATTTATTGAGCACCACCCATGTACCAGATAGAGAAGTCTCCTGATGTATTAATTTTGTTTTGTCTTTTTTCACACCATGTATGCTATTTTTAATGAGTAATTACTTACACAACTTGCCTGTCGGTGCTCTTAAATAATATAAATTTTTATATATATATTTTTAAATGGATTTATTTACATATCTTGGATATCTTAGAAGTCTTCTCATAGAATATTTTCATATTCTTAGTTTGATAAAATGAAGTGGATGACAGTTTACTTTTAATCTGACAAAAACAGCACAAGCAGGAGAATGAGTAAACGTGCTGATATATATTCATAGTGAAATACTATAAACCAAACTCACTGCTGTGGAGTTGGATCCAACTCATAGCATCCCCTTCTTGGGTTTCCAAGGAAGTACCACTATTGAAGTAGATCGATCGCTCTATCTTCTTTCTGAGGAGTGGCTGGTGGGTTTGAACTGCCAGCCTTCTAGTTAGCAGTCAAATGCCTTAGGTGCTATGCTACCAGAGCTCCCAGTGAAATACTACACAGCAATAAAAAATAAATAAATTGTGGTAGGGTACATCAACATGGATTAATCTGAAAAATATTGTAGGAGAGAAACAATTCAGAATGTATACAGTATTATTCATATAAAGGTGAAAGATAAAAACACAAAACATATTGTTCAAGATATATTTGTATATATAAATTGGGAAGAAGAGTAAAGGAATGATAAAGTCAAATCTTGGGATAGTGCTTTTCTGTGGGGGGCTGAGATTGAAGATAGTCACTTTGTGTATTAGAGGTACTGATAGTATTTTATTTCTTAAGCTGACTTAGAGTTCTTAGGTTTTTGCTTTTTTATTTCATTGTAACTTTTGAGAAACCAATGTATGCATTCAATATTAAAATCTAAAATACACAGAACCAGTCTTTTGAAAATTGAGGGAGATTGATACGGAAAAACATGAGGAAGAGTGACAGAGAAATACATCAGTAATGTGTATTCTTCAGTAGAAAAGTTGCAGAACAAGATTTGTACCTCAATATCCTGTTCTTACAAAGAGAAAACAGAACTTTTGTGTTTTTTAAAAAAACAATAAAATATGAGAGTGATACTAAATTATCATATCTAAGAGCAATAATAATTAGAATAATCTAATACTATTACCCTTCACACTGTGGTGGCTTTTGTGTTGCAATGATACTGGAAGCTATGCCATTGGTATTTCAGATACCAACAGGATCACCCATGGTAGACAGGTTTCAGTGGACTTTCCAGACTAAGACAGACTAGGAATAAGGATGTGGCCCAGTCAACTTCTGAAAAACTCAGCCACTGAAAATGTTAAGAATAGCAGGGAAACACTGTCTGATATAATGCCAGAAGATGAGACCTTCAGGTTGAAAGGCATCCAAAATACAACTGGGGAAGAGCTGCCTCCTCAAAGTAGAGTGACTCTAATGACGTGGTCGGAGTAAAGCTTTCTGGACCTTCAGTTGCTGATATGGCATGACTCAAAATGAGAAGAAACAGCTGTCACATCTATTAATAAGCAGAATATTGAATGTATGGAGTATGAGTCTAGGAAAATTGGCAGTTGTGAGAAATGAAATGGAATGCATAAAGATAGATGTCCTTGGCATTAGTGAGTTGAAATAGACTGATATTGTCCATTTTGAATCAGACAATCATATGCTTTACTCTGCTGGGAATGACAGGATGAAGAGGAATGATGTATGCATCATCAAGAAGAACATTTCATTTTGTCCAAGGGACTAGTGGACCATACAAACTTCAGCCTACATGACCATGAGACCAGAAGCTAAAATACACAAGAGTCAAATCGACTACATCTGTGGAAAGAGAAAATGGAGAGAAGCTCAATATCATCAGTCACACCAAGCCCAGGGGCCAAGTGTGGAACAGACCATCAGTTGCTCATATGCAAGTTCAAGTTGAAGCTGAAGAAAATTAAAAACAAGTCCACGAGAGCCAAAATATGACCTTGAGTATATCCTACCTGAATTTAGAGACCATCTGAAGAATAGATTTGATGCATTGAACACCAGTGACCAAAGACCAGATTAGTTGTGGAATGACAACAAGGACATCATAGATGAAGAAAGCAAAAGATCATTAAAAAGACAGGAAAGGAAAAAAAGACCAAAATGGATGTCAAAAGAGACTCTGAAGCTTGCTTTTGAATGGAGAGTAGCTAAAGCAAATGGAAAAAATGATTACGTAAAAGGTGAATAGAAGATTTCAAAAGTCAGGTTGAGAAGATGAAATATTATAATGAAATGTGCAAAGATGTGGAGTTAGAAAATCAAAAGGAAGATTGTGCTCATCATTCCTCAAGCTGAAAGAACTGAAGAGAAAATTAAAGCCTTGAGTTGCAATATTGAAGGATCTGTGGACAAAACATTGAATGATATAGTAAGTATGGAAGGAATACACAGAGTCACAGTACCAAAAAGAATTGGTCAGTGTTCAGCCATTTCAGGAGGTACCATATGATCAAGAACTGATGGTATTGAAGGAAGAAGTCCAAGCTGCATTGAAAGCATTGGCAAAAAACAAGGCTGTAGGAATTGATGCAGTACCCATTGAGATGTTTCAATAAACAGATGAAGCACTGGAGGCGCTCACTCATTTATGCCAAGAAATTTGGAAGACAGCTACCTGGGCCACCAACTGGAAGAGATCCATATTTTGCCCATTCCAAAGAAAGGTAATCCAATAGATTGTGGAAATTATTGAATAATATCATTAATATCACAGGTTCCCTGGTGGCTCTGTGGATAAAGCATTGGGCTGCTAACCACATGGTTGGCAGTTTGAACCCACCAGCCGCTCTGCAGGAGAATGATGAAGCAGTCAGCCATGGAAACCCTGTGGGGCAATTCTTGTTTGTCCCATATGGTCACTGTGAGCCAGAATGAACTCAGTGGCAGTGGGTGTTTTGGATATCATTAATATCACATACAAGTAAAATAATGAGAAAATGGTTGCAGCAATACATGAACAGGGAAATACCAGAAATTCAAGCCAGATTCAGAAGAGGGTGTGAAAGGAAGGGATATTATTGCAGATGTCAGATGGATCTTGGCTGAAAGCAAAGAATATGAGAAAGATATTTACCTGTGACTATGTAGATCATAACAAATTATGTATAACATTGCAAAGAATGGGAATTCTAGAACACTTAATTGTGCTTATGAGGAACCTTTATGTAGGCAAAGTGACAGTCATTTGAACAGAACAAGGGGATACTGTACTGCATGGTTTAAAATCAGGAAAGGTATGTGTCAGGGTTGTATCCTTTTATCATACTTAATCTGTATGCTGAACAAATAATCTGAGAAGCTGGGCTGTATGAAGGAACAACATGGCATCAGAATTGGAGGAAGATTCATTAACAACCTGTGATATGCAGATGACACAGACTGGCTTGCTGAAAGTGAAGATGACTTGAAGCACTTACTAATGAAGATTAAAGACCACAGTCTTCGGTATGGATTACACCTCAACATAAAGAGAACAAAAATCCTCACAACTGGACCAATAAGCAGCATCATGATAAATGGAGAAAAGATTATGGTTATCAAGGATTTAATTTTACTTGGGTCCACAGTCGACACTCATGGAAGCAGCAGTCAAATCAAACAATGTGTTGTACTGTACTGCACAGATCTGTTGCAGAAGACCCCTTTAAAGTGATAAAGAGCAAAGATGTCACTTCAAGACTAAGGCGCTGGACAGTGAATAACAAAGATCATAGATGAAATTGATACATTTGAATTTTGCTGTTCTTGGAGAATATTAATATACCATGGACTGCTAGGAGAAGAAACAGATCTGTCTTGGAGGAGGTATAGCCAGAATGTTCCTTAGACGTGAGAATGACCTGACTTCGTCTCTTGTACTGTGGTTTTGTTATCAGAAGAGATCAGTCCCTGGAGAGGAATAACATGCTTGGTAAGTAGAGGTCAGTGATAAAGGGGGAGACCTTCAGTGGATCGATTGACACAGTGGCTGAAACAATAGGCTTAACCATGGCACCGATTGTGAGCATGGCATGGGACTGAGCAGAGTTTCTTTCTTTTTGTACATGGGTTGCTATGAATCAGAACAAACTCAATGGCCCCTAACAATAGCAAAGGACAACAATACTATTATAAATATAGAATAATAGAACAGGGTAAATACTCTTAGATCCTAATTCTTAATTTAGATATACATTTAATGTGTAATAAACTCAGAATATAAAATAATTGGAAAACATTTAATCTATGTATAACTTTATGGGACTATGAAGGTAATTAGCTTAGATACTCATTTTAATGCTGTTGTTGTTATTATGTGCCATCGAGTCAGACCTGACTCATAACGACCCCTCCTTGGGTTTCCGAGGCAGTATCACTACGGAAGTAGATTGCCCCATCTTCCTTCC